CGTTTTTGTTAATGAGTCAGAGCCACGGCAATATTATCTGCCGACGGAATCTTGAGGACCTCCAATGGCAATTTTGCGATCAGGCAACACTATTTTTGGCACATTTTAAAATAAGTGCTGTTAATTTACCAGTACGGATAGGTAATCTGATTGGACTGAGGAACTACAATCTTTGGCTCATTTTATAAACAAAGTGTTTTGCCATTAGTTTCTCTATGCAGATAGGTGCTTTTGCGGAGGGGTCAGAAATTTTACTTCCTTATTGAAAAACGACGTCAAATTGAAAAGCCAGAAGTAGTGGCTCCTGATTGCAAAAATGTCTAACTAATTGGACTAAGGAACTACGATCCTTGGCTCATTTTAGAAACAACGTGTGTGCCATTAGTATCTCTACACAGATAGGTGCTTTTACGGATAGGTCAGAAAGTTTAGTTCCTCATTGCAGAATGACGTCCAATTGAAGAGCCAGAAGTTGTGCTTCCTCATTGCAAACATGCCCGCGACATTTCTGCAACTCATTGTCCTCTGACCATTCCCACTGAAAGCTCCTTAAGGATAAAAATATGTGGTACTTACGTTTGGTGCAGTAGTCGCCTTTCCAGCCGGGGAGGCAGACGCGGTCCCCCTGGAGCGAGCAAGAGTAGTGGCCGAACTTGTCGTCCCGCGGTCGGCAGAGGTTGGCGCAGCCGTTGCCGTAGTAGTGAGGGTCGCAGGTCACCCTGAACTCGTACGACATGAGCGAGTGGTCCGAGTTGTGCACCGCCTCCGTCCAGTTCTCGCTGATGTGCAGGTAGCGCTGCGTTGTCAGTCTTTTGATCAGGACCCCCATCCCTGCAAAACCCGACAATCACATGGTTAGAAAACAAATTCCAAAAGGAAAAATTCACAAATTTTAGTCAGGATGGATTTCACCGTCCACCTGCGGGATAGCATCTTTACAGAATCTTCAATTCGTCGTTTCTCCTCCATTCCAATACTACAAAATTGTCTCAAACAATTCAATTTTTTACAAGGATATACCTGTGCAATGTCGTCGAAAATTTTTTCCGAATTTCGCTCAAAATCAGCAGAAAAATCGGTGAAATTATAAGTCAAAACTGCAAAAGATTCTCCTAGAGAAAATGCAACTTGTGAAGGGAGAATTTAGCAACATTGAAATAAAGATGCATTCTTTCGTATGGGAAAGTACGGTTTCATCCCTTGATAAGTTTGGTTCTCTTTCAGAGGATTCCCAATTCATTGAGGGAAAATCGAATAAAAGCACTTCTCGTGAGCGAGCCGACCCCATCGAGAAGAAAACCCAACTGGTTATCGTCCATATTTACACAGCTCGCTGCTCACTGTCAAGATCAGGCAAATGAAGACGAAGCAACCGGTTAACTGATGACATCCATATTTCACCTGCCGCGCCGGGCACTCGTCCGTCATAGCTCACTTTCCTTTTCCGCTCACCCACCCACAGAT